AAGATCCGCGCTTTAACGAGGACTAAGGATGTACTAAAGGGGGAACAATAAAACTCTTTGAAAGACACATAAACTTTTGTGAGCTCACATTAATCTATTATATCTTAGGTATGACACCAAAACCCTGAGCAGCAGAATTAGAAAATGGATATTTTAGACTATGAAAATGAAAAACATCTGTTCCACAAAGAAAGTAAAAATTAAGGATAGAGATGAATAAGGAGTCAAGAGCTTTCATTACTCTACCAGAGGACCGGTTTGGATCTCAGCACTCACACCAGGCAACTCTAAAAGTCCTGTAACTCCAGTTCCAAGGGATTTGACATTTCCTTCTGGCCTCCATGGGCGCCCCATGCATACACACACCCATATACACACTTGGAAAAAATAAAATAAATCTACTTTTAAAGTGAAAATTCAACATACAGTATTTGAGGAAATATTTGCAAATCATATATATAAGGGGTGTGTATCTAGAATATATTAAAAACTCTTATATCTCAACAATGAAGAAAAAAGGAATCCAATTAATAAATGCCATAAAAGTCAAACCTTGAATTGCAGAACTGTAATTCCAGTACTGGAGATGTTGAGGCAAGAGGATCACCACAGATATAGGGCAGACTGAGTTATCTAATGATCCATTAAAAAACAAACAAACAAAAAAACCAAACCAGAAAATAGATGCTTCTCCCAGGAGGATGTATAAGTGGCCAGTATTCATATGTAAAGATACTCATACTCATTGTCACTAGCTCCCAGGAAAATACAAATTAAAATCATAATCCAAGGTTGAGGATGTAACTTGACCGGCAGTTTGCCTTGCACTTGTGAAGCCCAGGGTTTGACCCCCAGCAAGACACAGCCCGGGCATGGTGGTACACATGCTGATAACCCAAGTGCTCAGAAGTGGAGGCAGGAGAGCATCAGATGTCCAAGGTCATTCTTAGTTTTATATGGAGGTGGAGGCCAGTGTGGAAACAAAACAAAAACTTAAATTCCATGCCATATACACTGCCATGGTCACACTAAAAGTCTGGGTTCGAGATGGTAGCACGTGTTTTAATCCTAGCACTCAGAAGGCAGAGGCAGATGGATCTCTAGGACTTTGAGCCCAGTCTGCTCTACACAGTGAGCTCCAGGCCTGTAAAGGGCTAGTTGGGGAAAATGTAGGCATGGTAAGGACATGAAGAAACTGGAACCCTCGTGCAATACTGGTAAGGATGCAGAATAGTGTGGATGCAAAGGAGGACTGTCTGGTAGTTTGTCAGCAAGCTGAACAAAAGTCATCTTGGCAGACACACAAGAGAAAACACGTTGCTATACAAACTCATGTACACAACCATTTATACTAGCGTTACGCACAGCAACTCCAAAGTGAAGACAACCCGAGTGATGAATGGACAAACAGAATGAATATTAATACAATGTCAAAGATTTTGATAATACAAAGGAATGGAGCATGGATGCGATAGTCTGCATCACCTGTGGTCCCAGGTACAACAGGGACTGAGGCAGTAGCATCCTTGAGCCCATCTGGAGGACACAGTGAGATTACATCTCTTGAATAAAAAAAAAAGATAGAAAAATGACAAAATACTGATATTGATACATGCTGTAACCTGTAGGGATGAATCTTAAAAATATTCAAGCCACCCATGTGAGTCCATGTATTGTGTGATTTTATTTACGTATTTATTTATTAGTGCTGGGATTGACCTGGGGCCTTCTACATGCTAAGAGCATGCTCTACTACTGAGTTGCATCCCCAGCCTTTTGTTGTTTACAGGTAGGGTCTTGCTATGCAGTTCAGGCTGGCCTCGATATGTAGCCCAGGCTGTTCTCAAACTTGCCGCACCCTACCACAGCCTACCCAGGGCTTGGATTATTGATGTGCACTATCACACTGCCTTGGTCAACAGTTTGAATCCAGGTACCCTCTAGATCACCTGTTTCCCTTCCCTCTACTTACCATGCAGTGAACTCCATGGCGACAGTTCAACGTCAGTGTACTGGGGCTGTTTCATAAGTTCTCATGTTGTCTTTCCTCTTGGAGACAAGGTCATCTTTGGAGTGGCCCTCTCTAAGACTCGTGTTTTGTACATCTTCCTTGCCCTCTGTTTTGGATGGCAGCATGCAAGGGCCACAGGAAATCCCACACCAGGCCATCTGGCCTTTACTAAGCACTACGAACTAAAAAGCTTTTCTCTTTGTATGTATTCACCATGCTTGTTCTTGCTCATGATGCTGCTGGGTGGCCCGATGGCTTCCCTTGGCAGGGAGAAACTGAGGCACACATGTAGTGCAGTTTGAACAGAACTGGAAAGGAAGCTGGGCATGCTGTTATAGCAGGCCTGCATGAAGACTGTCAGAGCTGATGTCCTAGCTTCCTCATAGTCCCTGGTCGCCTCACAGCAATGATGACAGCGCTAGAATAAAGTTTAGGGTGGTCACCTGTTTGTATCACAGTGAGACCTGTGCCTGGCTCCACTCAAGTGTCGTATAAGGGTTTTCACAGTTTATGCGTTATAGGTCACCTGGCTCCCGAGCAGAGAACAGTGAAGTTTCAAGCCTGCTTTGGGTTCTAGCTCTGTGTTGCAGTGGCAGAACTGGACCCAAAGTAAATACAGACTATAAACAAAGGATAGGTTTAGCTGCCTGCCTCCAGCTACCCTTACTCACCTCTTTGTAGGGCTATACAAAGAGTATAAGTCATCTGCTTTGTGTCAATCAAACAGCATTGTGTGTTGTGTAACAGTTTCCTCTGCAATTGAAACATTACCTCCTTCAGGGAGGCACCTTAAGTAGGAAGGTAAGCAACTCAAGACACCTTCAGGAAGTTCCTGAAACTGACCAGAATCACTAGGCCTAAATAATAAAAGTTGAGCTGTGTCACATTCCTTCCCCTTCAACATATGTCAGAAGAGCAGAGTCAAGCTAGGAAGAAGACTCTCAGGCTGAGACCTGCTGCCTGGCAGGAGAGCCGGGCAGAGTTGCCTGGGACCTGGAGAGGACACTCTCCAACCTGCTGAGCTGCCTGCAGGCTGTGCACTGTGCTCCAGGTTCCCAGCTTTGTGAGTGGTCAGTCCCTCATTCTGGGGTGGGCTTTCGTGATGCAGCTGTCTTTGAGTCATTTCTGCACCTCTAAGTAACTCCTTACCCATAGTCCTCTAAAGGAACCCCAGTAAAACGCATTGGTTTACCAAGGTGGACTTTGGTTAGATCCTGTCTGTCATGGGATCCGTATCTGGGGTGAGTAGACATGTGGGTTGTGTCTCCCCAGGAAAGGTTTTGTCACATAACACAGTGAGCTTCAACTGAACCATGTTGAAGTGACTGAGCAAAAGTAAGGGGTGACTGGACGGAAATGGGCAAGAGTGGGAAAGGAAATCAGATGATATCAGGGGGATTTACTGGGCCTGTAGGGAGGGATATGACAAGAGAAGACAGGACCCATGGAGGGGAGAGAAACCTCTGTTGCTTCAGAGTAGTGGTGCCAATCCTCATGGCTTCAGGGGGCATCAGAATAACCTCCCCGTTCTTTCCCTACTTCTCTCTCCTGTAGGCTTCTGCCGGCACACTTGCCTCCCGCTGACAGCACCAGGGCACACGCTGGGGCAGCCATTTCTGGAGCGGCGAGAACAGGCTATTGAAAATCAACCAGCACTTCCTCTCCCTAACATAGTCCATCTCCCCTTAGCGTAGCATCTTTCGATTTGCATGTTTATTGTCTGGGCCCCCATGGGAATATCTGTATCATGAATACATAGTGGGAAAACATCCAGAGAGGGGAGTCTCTAATAGCCCAGGCTGGCTTCGAATTCACTGGGTGCAAAAGATGACCTTAGATTTCGAATCTTCTTCCTCCATCCACCTCCTGACTGCTGGGATTACAGGTTTGTGCTTCTGTGACCTCTTGTACTTGATGCTGGGGACAGAAACCAGGGTCTCATGCATGCTGGGCAAGTGCTCTTGAAGCTGAGCTATATCCCAGCCTAAAAGTCCAGCCTAAAAGACAAGATCTTCAGATTGTATCTTAGTTAGGGTCACTCCTGCTGTGATGAAACACCATGACCAAAGCAACTTGGGGAGGAAAGCATTGGTCTTAGACTTCCATATCATGGTTCATCCTTGAAGGACAGGAACTCAAGCAGGGCAGGAACCTGGAGGCAGGAGCTGAAGCAGAGGCCATGGAGGGGTGCTGTTTATTGGCTTGATTGTCATGGCTTCCTCAGCTTGCTTACTTACAGAACCTAGGACCACCAGCTCAGGGATGGCACCACCCACAATGGGCTGAGCCCTCCCTTGTCAACCACTAATTAAAAAAAAAAACAAAAAAAAAAATTTAAAGAAGAAATTAATTTTTAAAAAAAAGGAACCAAAATTAAAAAAATTAAAAAAAAAAAAAAATAAAATAAAACCAGCCAACACAAATTCAACACAAATTTTAAAGAGTTTTTTGTTTGTTGCCATGGCCCCCCTCCTCCCGCCCAGTGCCTCGCTTGGTGTCTGGCGAATAATAGGAGCTGAATAAATCATTTGACTGGGTCAACAGACTAGGGCCCAGGTAGCTTGTGGGAGTCCTCTCATCTTTGTTTAACAGAAAGATCTGGTGGCTGCCTTCTGAATGCTTAAGGGTGCAGGGCCAGGGGTTGAAGTTCTTGGCCTCAGGTCTGTGGCTGGGAGGGACAGCAGGTGATGGCGAGTCCTTCAGCCCCGCCGAAATAGTGCTGTCTCCCCACTCCGCTTCACCCAGGTGCAGTCCGATCCGCCCTCCTTAGGAAGCCGGCCTGTGGCGGGACGTGCCGGGTGGCGGGCCGAATCCCTCCCACGGTCTTTGCGTGAGCAGGGAGGGACGCCCGGCGCTCCTGGCAGGTTATTTTTAGCTGGGGGAGGGGACGGAGCGGCAGGCCGGGCGACAGAGGCTGAGGTGGCCACAGCGTCCTCCGGCAGTGCGCGCCGCTGTCCTCGGGGACCTGCACGGTGGGGGCGGGGAAGGCGGCGGGAGAGCGCGGCGGGCGGGAAGGGGCGGAGAGCGCGCTCCTGCGGAGGCGGCTGTTCTCCTCCCGGCGGCCAAGCGCTTCAGTGCTCGCCGGGCTTCGCAGATGGCTTGCCCCGCTCTCGGTCTGGAAGCTCTTCAGCCCCTGCAGCCGGAACCACCTCCGGAGCCTGCCTTCACCGAGGCACAAAAGTGGATCGAGGTAGGTGCCGACGGCGACGGGCGGCCTTGCAGGGGCGCCCCGAGCTACTGCCCGGCGCACAGCGCTCGCGGGTCCAGCTCCCCACCCCCGTTTCGTGGCCAGTATCCTCAGGTCACCCACCGCGGCCTCCAGCGGACTGCGGTCCTCGGGCGTTGGAGTCCCGGGGTGGTGGGCGTGAACGGGGGGGGGCACTGCGGTCTAGCAGTGCGCCTAGGGGCAGGAGGCGGTCCCCTGCGCCTTCATCCCTGCTCGCAATCTCGGCTCGGTTTGCAAGCGCTGCCATGGGAAGCGCAGTGCAAGCCGAAGCTCTGCAAACGCGCCAGGGGCTCGAGCTTCCAGAGCCCTTGCGGGAGCCGCATTTCAGGGTGTCCCGCTCTCTGCTCCACATTTCACCTCTTGGCCTTCCTCCTCGCCCTTCCGGAGCAGAGTTTGGCAGTGTCTCCACAGAGGCTCATACCCATCGGAGAGCCTCTTGGCTGTGTTCTGGCACCGGTTCAGGTGCGAGGCTGGCGCAGAGCATAGCGTGGGGGAACCTGCAAGACCTAGTTGCTAGCGCACTATCCGCAGACACGATACCCAGCCATGGCTGCCCCAGAGACCGCAGGGTGGGCTCCAGCAGGCCATATACCCGGCCAGGTTGGCACATTTCACTTGTTAAATGGCTCGGTGGAAGGCCAAGGAAATCACTGGAGCTCTCTGCTCAGTCCAGGAAGCGCTCGCTGGGTGATTCTGATTCATGATGTCTATCTGCAGGTGCAGCCTAGTAGCCCTGCGATGCCGAAACGACCGGTCTTTGAGCTCAGGACGCGTGGAGGGCGAGAGTGGGGGAGGTGATCCTATTCGTTGAGCCCCCATTTCAACGGAATTATGCTTCTTTATGCTTGTGGAAGGTCAATTTGGCCAAACGACACGTTACCCCCTTGACCTGACAGTTCAAAGGAGGATGTGTGCGGCTAAGTCACGACCAAGCGCGGATAAGCTTTACAGGGCTCAGTTGTCACTTAGCGACCCCGTCCCCACCCTCGGGACAGCCCAGGTTTCCATTGTTGTTCGGGTGATAGAATTGTGGGGTTGTAGATTCAAACCTGCTGAGTTGCCTACGGAGGCGGTTGCTGGAAGGCTCCGGCCACAGGCCGCCACCTTTTTTCAGGGACAACCTTCTTCATGCATACAAAAGCGTCTCAGAGTTTGGAAATGGCTGTTTAAAAAACGGAGTTAAGGAAACAGAGTATACCAGACACTATTGCTAAAAGCTGGAGCTGGCGTGTCTCTTGATCCAGATAACTCACTACCAGATGAGAAAAAGACATCAGCTTCTTATTTCTGATGTGTGGCTGGAAGGCTTGAAGTGTGACAGGTGTTCTCTCTGCGCTTGGGGCTCCCAGGCCCCGCAGGAGACGTTTGTAGACGCTGGCGGTAGTGGAGAGTCGCGGGACTCTTTCAGATTTTTGAACTGGAATATCCTTTGGAGAAAAATTGATTGTATTTTGGAGGTAAGGGAACACACCGGAGGAAGAATAACCTCCCTGTTCTCATAGGCAAGTGATTTAATTCCAGTTTCTTTAATTGATAGCAATATTGACAGGCTCTGCTTTTAAAGCGTGTATTGTGGCAACATTTCATACAGGATAGCGTGGAAATCTGAATTGTACATCTTCGTGAATTCTGGAGTATGTACATCCCCTATAGCAAGCTATCTCTCCCTCTTTTTAAATTGATGGTATTTCAGGCTAAACATTACACACAGTATGGAGCATCAATTTTCATGTCAGCTTGAAGAAAGGAAGGGGCAGTTTAAGAAAGCAGAGCCAGGTTAAGCCCTCCACACAGCTTAGTATTATTTTTGTTACTTTCCCCTTTAAAGCAGTCAGAGAAAGTGAAAACGCCAATGGGGTGTGCCTGTGTGGCTCCAGGACCAGGCTGCCCGGCACGCTGCGTGTGCATAATTGAAGGGGCCTATCTCCTTTCCACAGAGGAGTTGTATTTCACCGAAAGGGGAGTTTCTCCTTCCAAGCCTAGGAGGTATAAAGAGGTATTTGTGGGAGGTGGGAGATACTCAATGCCCCCTCCACCCTTTCTCTCACATTCCTCCTGAAATGTAAATGCCACGTGTGCAAACTGGGAGCCAGGGGCCATAACAGATGGTTTTGCACACAGTTGCCCAATGAGCAAAGATTCCAGGGCTAATACAGTAATAATGCGTTTCTTAGTGTGAGCCACTTCCCGCGGGGATTGGGAGACAATCGCATCTCCCGTTAGGGGCCCATTGTCTCCGGCAACATCCTCATTGGGAGGGCTTTGTTTTTCGGTTTTGTTCCATCGGTGATTAAATTTCCCACAGGCCTTTTCATTTTCATTTTTCTTTTTAAGCAGTCAGGAATTTTTACCCTTTCAGAAAACGTTCCCTTGGGTGCAGCAGGTTAATCAACAAACTTCACCTACTACTCATCTTCCTTGAGTCGGGCTGTTCAGAGAATTGAGCAAGCTCCCAGATACAGGTTCTTAACAGGAGTTTCGTGACCTGCAGCCTTGACTATTTGAAGACCCTGTTGCTGGGCAGGAAATGTGGTCCAGAAGCCAGGCTTCCTGGACCCCCCCCCCACCCAACTTCTGACTTAGAGGCTAAAGCTGGACTTGGTCACAACTGGGTAGGGGCAGCTGGGTCACATTTCCAGCGACTTCCATGGTTGTGAGAACAGGATAGGAGGGAGCCTTACTGTGTGTTTGGGGAGGGTCCTGGGGACACAGCACAGTTCAGCAGGCAGAGGCAAGGCTAACTTCCTATCATATTGCCCTTCTGGTTCTTTTTCCCAAGCACCGGTAGTAAGGCCTGCACAGTGAGCCAAGAGGCCTAACTTCCTAGCTGGAAATCCTTGGGTGGAGTCCCAGGTCTGTCACTTCTATCCCAGCGACCTTGGACAAACGGCTTTTCCTGCCCTTCTGTTTCCAGATATTTTCTTTGAAAGATACCTCGAGTTAACAACAAAACAACAAAGGGGTATTGTTGAAACATCTGTAAAACAGGACGTTAAAGAATATCTCACCTCGTTGGCATGCCGGAGGGTCTAATAAGTGAAAATATTTTAGAATGCTTAGATAGGGACTTGGGATAAGGTGAGTGGTTAGAGCTCTTGCCGGGTGAGTGTGAGGACTGGGATTGGGATCTGCAGAGTCTACCGAGGCCCACCTGTAGTTCCAGCACTGGGTTCCCCATGCAAGCTGGCTTGACTAGCCCGTAGCCATGAGCTCTGTCTTGAAGAATAAGATGGGGAGTGGTCCAGGAAGACTCTTGATGACAATGTACACAAGCACACACATGCATACACGCACTGGTACCTGTACACATACATGTGAGCACACACAAACAAACACACTCCACATGTGCATGTTAGTAGCACCCAGTACTGTTTGAGTGACAGGATCACAGTTACCCTTTGTATTACTATTGCTGTTATTCTTCGCATTGCTACCCCTGTTGGTGCTGTTGCTAATAGCAACCGAATTTGATTTTGTCCTGTTTCTGTTTTACTCTGCTACTATCTTGTTTTATTTACGATTAGTTTGTGTTTCAGTGCCAGGAATTGGGCAAGTGCTCTCTCACTGAACTAACATCCCCAGACTTATATTGATGCTCTGAGACTGAGGCTTGCTGAGTAGCTCAGACTGACCTTGAATCTGGTCCTCCTGGATGACAGGCACTCCTGGGATCACAGGCATATACTACCAATGCCTGGCACCAAGCCTGAGTTTGAAAGAAATTCTTCAGAACCATACGTTTCTAGCATACAAAATACAGCTCAGTTACCTCCTGATTTCACTTCATAATCTCACTCTGTTTTAATACTTACTTATGCTGGGGACCAAATCCAAGTCTAGGCAGGAGTTGACACTATCTCAGTCCAGCGATTCTGGATACTTGGGCTAGATATGAAGTAGATGTTATGTCTTACTATTTGTTGGGAGCTGTGAACCCCTAGATTCTGAATATCTTAAAAACAACTTATTTTCCCGTGATCTGAGTGCCTACAGCTGCTCTGAGCAAAAGACCATCAGGAGATCCTGATGGCAGGGGAGTGGTTTTTGGTCTGTTTGGCTGGGGTGTGGCTATCCCTATATAAGCTGCCCCTGGACGCAATAAAGGGGGGCATTCTTGGGGCATCCTGGCTTCAAGGATGACCCGTGTCTCTGTCTGTGAGTCTCTGTGTGTTTCAATCTCCAGCTCTTTGCCCGCTTCACGAACTGTATGGCAACGCATAGAGCGCAGAGGGGCCCGGTAAGCTACACTATTGTTTGACTTTAGGATCTGAGGAGAGCCTGTGATAGCTCACTCATGAGGTGACCTCCCAGTCCACAAAGCCTTAGAGAATTACTGTTCACTATTAGGTTGGACTTCAAACTTTAACGTGTAAAGTTTTGCTCCCAAACGCCGAGAAGAGTCTTTGGTGCCTCTCGCCTGCAGACAGTGAGGTACGTTAAACTGGAGGCTGGCTTGGTAGCGGCTCATTTCGACGCCTCCTCTCTTCTGTGCTAATATTGATGCTTGTTTGCAGGTAGATGATTCTAATATGGCTGGTTCTCCTCTCCTGTTTGTCCTTCCACCCACAACAATATTAATCTGTTCTAATCTTTCTTTTTCTCTTAAGGGCCAGACATTTTCTGGAGGACCAGATGTCCCTTCAGCTGGGTTCCACTTCATTTGGATTTGGAACAGGTTGTCAAGCTTTTCAAAGGGCGGGGCTGAAGAGTTCAACCCCACTCAGCCGTCTCAATTTGAAGAGTTTTTGGATTACTTTACCTTGAGTGGTAGCGTGCCCACGGGTTTTTGGTGATGAGTACAGTCTTACTCGTAACCCAAGACATGTTTCAGTTGTTCCCTATAGCCACAGGGAATTGCCACACCTCTTGCATCTTCATCTGAGAGTTGTTCGCCTTTTATTCATATCTGATTTTGAAGACTAAACGCACTGCTGGTGTCTTAGCGCTCTCGATACTGGAAGGCT